AAATGTAAGACTTGAAAAGTGCAAGTAGCTTTTAAAAGTGATTACTATGATCATATCATTTTGTATTAGTTCATGTTTAAAATTCACATATATTCCAGTTTGCTGTGTATTAACATCTGACAAATATTATGTACGGTATTACAAGAATTATCTTTTGATCATTAATTTATACACTAAATTCTGAATTAGAGGAGCCAAATTACTCTAATTGCAGTATAGTTCTTTGACAGTGATTGCTTCTCCTGTTGCGATAGGAGTTACATGGAACTACATGTGACCCAAGAAGATAACTGAATATTGGGTTTTGTATGTGTTTTACATAATTCTGAGAATTTGGGGAAACAGTTTAGGCTGGCAATCTGTGCGTTATTTGAATCAGTTCCCTTGCATGCTGAAAGAGCTTTATTGAATGCCTTGTGTACAAACCTGACTGCACTGATTTTAGGCAATTGTGTGAATTCTGCCTACATAATCAGCGTTATAGCAGATAATCTGGGGTGAAGAAATCTGAGTATTCTATCCAACCACATTACAGGCCGAGTGAAATTACTCTCATTGTCTATTTTTCAATCTGACAACTGGAGAGACATTACAGATATATATCAGATACATCATTACAGTCAATTACACTATCGACCGAAGCCAAACTTTTATACTATTTCTATGCAATAAAAACTTCATTTTTTTTTTCCTTCTTTCTTTTTCTCTCCATTAGTTCTTCAACTGATGGACTTACTATGCCTGGAGGAGTATCTAAAACCATGCATTTAACCTGAGCTGGCCCAGTCCAGGCAAAGGGCTGCTAAGAGTCATTGCAGGGTTGCTCCCCTGCAGTACACTTGAATGTCATGAGCGGATATCTCATGACGATTGCTTCTACTATGTGTGTGGGAATATCTAGCACAATCTAGCCCGCAGCCTATTTATTCTGTAACTGCATGCCAGATTCTAAAAACATTATAAGCAGCATCTTCCTGCCCACATAAGACACAAAGCCAACGTGTGTCATTTATTGATTCAAAACTATCAGCGCTCAGTCCCTGATCCCTGCAGGCACCCAGTAGGTGACAACCTATCTGACATGGACAGACCCGCTTCCGTGACTGTGGTGGTAGAGCTGCCTGCAGATGCTAAAGGGGTAGCTTTCTGTTGCAAGGCTTTTAGCAACTTCTGCTTCTCAACAATAACTTGCAAATCTACAGTCCTCCAGTCATGTTCATGCCATTAACAGACCCCACACTCTATTCGTAATCTATCCAAATCCTCATAGATACTAAGGTGTATTTACACAGAGTTCGTGTAGACTAGAAGTTCCTTTAAGAGTTTACATAGGAGCTCATCTATACTGAGGTGCATTTCTTCTACGTGTCTGATCACTTTTGTAAGTCCCGTTAGCATTATTGCAGGTTAGCCAAAAAATACTGTAATTTGGAATTTCCGGGAATTTTCACCTGTTCATTGTAATGGAAAAAGACTGGCTTGTTAGAGAAAGTTGTGCTTTGGAAACGAATGGCGTTGGCGTCCCTCTGCTACTCCAGAAGACTTCGCCTGTCCTCCAGCAGTACGGCTGATGGAACCTTTCATCAGATTGGAAAAGAATTAACTGTCAGAGAAGGGGATGCAGGATGATAGAGGGGTGTGCTCTTGGGAAACTGATGGGTAAACAGTAAGTGTAATCAGGAGTCTGGAGGCAGCAAGCGGTAACTGCCTTGAATTACCAGCACATGCTCAGTCCCACATGGCATCTGAAAAGCAAAGGAGAAAATTCTGCAGAGCTGAGAAGATGCTTTACATGTCAGTTCTCTCCTGGACTGCCAGGGGCATGTCTGTGTACCTGCTTTGAAAAATGAGCATGCTGCTTCATGTGTTTTCACAGAGTTACGCTGCGATGGGCATTTACTTTCTATGAAGTTTTTCTGTAGTGTTAGCAGGCCTAACATGCTGCTGTGGCTGAAGCAGGATTCCAGCGAGGAAAATGGTGTAGAGTGCCCATATGGACCATAAGCACCAAAAATTGCATTTCCCTGACCGTTGCCCCCTGCTCCCGACCCCCGGTGACGTGGTTAGCATAACTAACGCCCTTTTATAAGGCAAGCAGGCATTCTCTGTGACTGAGTGGGTCATGTATTTGTTCCCTTCCCCTCATTATCAGGCCCTGAAGGTCCTGTGCACCAAGCAGACAAACAAAACGGATTTCTTCTTCCCTTCCCTCAATGTTCCTGGGTGCCAGGCTGGCTACCTCCCTCCTCACCAGCCTTGAGGGTCCCAGGCGCCCGGCCATCTCGGTGCTGGTGATGGCCCCGGCATGGGAGAGGGAAGCGAAACAGCACAGAGCCCTGCCCATAAAGTCAGTTTTATTATAAACTCTGTATTACGCTACTTGTAAGTTGTGCTACATCGATTCTGCCTGTAGAAATCCCGTGCCATTCTATTCATAAATTCTGTGCTACAAGAATCATAATATTCTGTTCAGAAAATAAAGCTTTAATTCTAACTGCAATTTAGTGGCCCCATCACTCTGCCAAAGATCCCTACAAGAACCTGCCTGTCCCCTCAGCGTTGGGTGACTCCTTCTCAGTGTCTCTGTCGACTGCCTCTGTGTCTGATTTTCTTGGCTACGAGGCTCCATATTGTCACTGTAAATGACATCCCTGCCAGCACGGTGGCTTCTGAGGTGCTTTCCTTCACTTTCTGTCCATTTCTTTCCCCTTTTGCTCTATCCTTTCCCTTACTTCAGAAAGATACTGAATTGCTCAGCCAACTTTGCACTGTGTTTCAAGTTTTCAGTGGTTCTATTGGCCTTTTATCTTACGCTGTTGCCTTTTTAAAACAAAGTAAGACAGTGAGCAGCAGTTAAAAACAGTGCTTTTCAGGATCGGGACACCAAGGTGTTAGCCTGCAACATTAAATTCCCATAGCAATAGTGACTTAGGAGAATGTTAGTGCAACTTCTGTTTTCCTCTTCTGGGTCGTCTGGTTTTTTGGTTGTTTGTTTTGGTTTGGTTTTTTTTTTTAATATTGGAGGTACATCCTTTTCTACCTCTCTTTCTCCATACTTTAAAAACATGTTGTGGAAACTCCTATCCCCGACAGATTGCCACTAGCAGGGTACAGCCTGTCTGTGATATTTGGTTACAGATGTGCTGTTCTTCATTTCTAATAAGGAAAACACAAAGACGGCACAGGTCATGGGGCTACCTTTGAATTAAATAAAATAATTAGAGCGTGGCAGATTTAAGGGTACTTTTTCTTTTGAGGCTGGTTTAATTCATCATTCTACAGGATTCTTCATGTCTAAAGGTATTTTGCTAAGTCCACACCAGAAAACAGCGGAGGAAACATATCTCGCCATGAAGGCTCACGCATACGTGACAAAAAATACAAGCAAAGGTACAAAAACAAAATTAAGAGGACAATGATTCCCATCTCTCTTCTTTACCCTCCGTTGGTACTGACCAGTATGTTAATGGGTTTCATGACACAGCTGAGCAACCCTCCTTCCAGGCATGCATTTATCCTGGCCCTTCATAGGGACTGCTGTCACCCAACAGAATGCTGATACTCTTGGATTTCTGGAAGGCATACTCACGTATTTGGGAAAGGGCAATGGAGACAGGCAGTTCCTACAGCTCTAAGACAGCAAATTTTGCATCTAAAATATGATTTCTTGTACCTTGTGGCTGGCTTAAAATTCACATTACCATGCTTGCTGCTCTTCAGTGAGTTTCAGCAATTTAGGAGCTTAAGCAGTTGGTATTTTGTAAAATACTCCAAGTGACACAACACCAATGTGAAGTTCTCATATCACTGCATTAGTTTTTTAGTAAGCTGAAGATACAAGATGGGAATTTCTGTTGATTAAAATAGCCTAAATTTTATGTTAATAAAAACTAACTTACTAAGATTTTACTGACTGATACAATTTTTTTTTTTTATAAATTACAGCAACTAACTGAAGTAATTCCTTCCATGATTAAAAACATGCATGTACCACATAAGCAAGTAATAGTATCCACAGCATTGGATAAATATGACTTCTAAGGCAATATTTTTTAGCCTTGCTTTCTAAGAATATTCAATCTTGCTCTCTGTGTCAGAATGTCTGACTCCTTCAATAGCTTTTGAACCTAATAGCCCAATGTTGACCCAGCCTTTACCAGGGCTCTGAAGTAATTACTTTTCCACAAGTTTTACGAAAATTAAGGTAAGGTGAAAAGACTCCCCCAAACCCTCTCTCTTCTCTCCTCCCTCCCTCCCTGTGAGAAAGGGTTCAAATCTGCACATGACTTTCAACCAAACAGTCCACAAGTCATTCAGAATCAGCTACATCTTATGCTTTCTCCTCCTCAGGCAGTATTTAGAGAAGAAAAGAAGCGATGATGATGATGTGGGAAGATGCACGAGGCACAGATGCATAGAAATGCACACAACAGATTCGTAAGAATTTGCTGCTTACAGAATTGCTTGGTTGTTTTTAACTTTCTTTCCTGCCGGCACCCTACTTTCACTACAGCACCGCATAGCAATTCATCTGAGACCTTGTTTCTCCACCGTCACGGTACTACTCTCAAATATGCTATATTTTCTGTACCTGACAGGTAGGATTTGCTTTAATTTCTTCCTAGACTCTCACACGATCCATGACCTTAGCTTAGGTGAAGAGGTATGGTAAAAGTCTAACTAAAATAGTGTATTTTCTAGCTATGCTGATACCAAAACTGTGGGATCGAAAAAGGCAGAATATGGCCAAACGCTGGCATTCAGGCAAGGAGGCCATGCCAAGCACTCATGTTGTCCAGGTACTCTGTTCCCTGGGAAACAGAGGTGATCCCAATAGGTGGATTGGCTGGTTAGGACAGTAAAGTGGTTGGAAGGGTGAGAAAGCAGCGCAGGAAGGCAAAGGCAGAATTGCTAGAAAGATTGGCACAGATGCAACTAAACAAATTTATGTCAATGCAAATTACTTTTAATTCCCACAAGAATAAATTCTCTGGAGGAAAGTCAAGTTACAGAAATGCGAGTTAAACATAAGTTGTGGACTGGAACAGTATCGTGTGCGCTGCTGTACATCTCTCACATACACTTTTTTAGTTACGTATTTAGTACTTTAACTTGAGGCATGGAATTGCCAGATATTTAAAGGCAATGGTAGGAGGTAACCGCGGGTGATCCATCAGTCTACAACTCCCCTATTCATGCTCAAAACCTCAGAAGCACAGATGCTAGGAAGCACCCTTCGTCAGTGAGACAGGACACCTTGTCTTCTTGTGCAGACGTAACGTGAGGTCATCTGTCGCTAAGGAGAGACTTCTTCCTACAGGGAAAAACAGATTTTAAATGAGGGAGCAGTAGGCTCAAAATCCTGTGCAGATATGCACCAGCAAAGACCCACTCCCGCTGCCAGCTATAATTCCATTAGAAAGGTAACTTTAGCCTTGTCTGATATCTGCCAATCTGACTTTATTCCTCTTGGAATCGCTGATCGTCATCTTGCATGAATTTGGCCAGAAGCCAGAAGCCTTTGTTCCCTAGAGAGAAAATAGCTTCTGATTTACTGCAGCTCTCTTGAAAATAGGCTGGAGCTTGTCTCACAAGCCCCGGAGGAAAACCTCCCGTCCCTAACGCTCCGTACCAGAGAGATGGCGAGCGCCGGCTCCACGTTTCACTGACCCTCTGCTAACCACCAAGTGCAGGGGTACCTTCAGCTCGCAGCACTCTTCCAGCTGCAAGCTGCTTTTCTCCAAAAGCAAAGCCTCTCAGAAAAACAACCGGACTGTACTGAGATGATCCGCGCCCTCCTCTTTCTGAAGTACTGTTGTTCAGCCTAGAGAAAAGGAGGCTCAGAAGGGATCTCATCACCACGTACCAGTACCCAAGGGGTAGCTACAAGGAAGATGGAGACTCCCTTTTTAGAAGGAGTCACATGGAGAGGACAAGGGGGAATGGACAGAGATTGCTCTTGGGGAGATTCCAATTGGACATGAGAGGGAAATTTTTCACCATGAGAACAGTCAACATTGGAATGATCTCCCCAGGGGAGTGGTTGACTCTTCCACATTGGACACTTTGAAGACTCAGCTGGACAGGGTGCTGGGCCATCTTGTCTAGGCTGTGCTCTTGCCTAGAAATGTTGGACCAGATGATCCTTGAGGTCCCTTCCAACCTAGGATTCTAGGATTCTATGATTCTTGCTTAGTGTTACTGACAGGGGAATATCCCATCACATCGCCTCTGTGCTCTCCTGGTACAGGGACCCGAGATGTTTATTCCTTGCACATGTCAAAGCAACTCCTTATTTCACAAACTCCTTCTAGCCACATACGCTGCAACTTCTCATTAGTTGGATTGGAAGGATATTAGTATTTAGGCTTCCCTAATTTTCCATCTATTGTGCTAGACCCCACTCCTGTTACAAACCCTATGCATACACTGCTGTTTACATGGGACAATTTTCAGAATAGAGCCAGAGCTTTGTGTATTCTTATTATAAACTCTGTGATAGACATACTTCTCTAAACAGTTACACCTTTCACCATTCTACATATACACAATTAGAAAAATCAATGTGTAATTGCCGATTATGAGGGAACGGATATCCTTGCAAATTCCGCTATGCCAGTGAAGGTTGCAAAGATATTCACCAGAGCTGCAAAAGCAGCAAATGAACTAACTATATACCAGCACATCTTGGAAAATCTCAGATTAAATATAAACAGTGTGTGGAAGTTATCATTTAATTGTCAAGTGTAACTGATATTATTTATAACTAACTGCTAACTGCTGCTACAGTTGTCCTCATGCAGCAGATGCCATGCATCAGATGCAATGTTTGAACCTCTCATCTTCCTAATCACCAAGAATGTCACGTTGAAGCATATCTATCAGGCTCCTATCCCTTTTAAAGTAATGAGGTTCAGCAGCGACTTCGCTCTCGCCATTAGATCCTCAGGTACCTCTGACTTACAGTCAAACAGAATAGTGGGATGACAGCTAGTAATTTCTTGTTTGATCCACAATTAGTCGAAATCCAGTAATCACTGTGTGATTACGTTTAGGCTACTCTGGAATGAGTTACACCACACATTAAATCTATGGACTACTTAGGTTTCTATTCTTACTGTGGAACTGATTGCAGAGTCCAGAGCAGAAACACAACTAGCTTAAACAAACTGCTTTCACACAAGTAAACAGTAACGAGAATAGTAATGGAAAGAGTAGTGTAAGTGGACTATCTGAGAAGTATACAGATTTAGATTTAGATTTAGTATCCAGATTTAGATTAACAAGTTATTAGGTCAAGAAGTTTGGGCAATTACATAACGTAAACCACAGCACTTCACCTGTTAATTTTTGCAGTTCAATTAATACACAGTGTCTTAATTAAGTCCTTGTATCCCGTAACAAAAATAGCTAAGAATTGTTTTTTGCGTATAGGATTTTAACATTTTATTTCTTCTTTCTAACTTAGAAACATTTCTTAACTGAAAAATTCACCCTCAGTCAGAGGACAAATAGGAACCAATCTGTAAGTAGAACAGGACACCTAAACTACTCCAGTATAATATTTGAAAGAACTTGTTCCGTGGGATTACATACATATGCACAAGGAAACAGGAATCTTCATACATGGAACGGATACTTTAGATGTGTAAATATGACCTCAGACACAGTTACCCATTCTGCAAATACATTTTATATGCCTCACATGCAAATACTGGGCTTTGTAAAGTCAGTAATTTTGCTGGCACTGTGTGAGCAGCCGTTCCAAAAAATTACAGCTTTATGCAGATCTGATGTCCATGAAATTAGATCTAGCTACATCTTGGCTAAACTCCCATCTGCTACCTGACACAGTATTTCCTTTCCTGATTTTTCAGTTGTCAGTGACACTGTTCATGAAGATGACAATTTAAAATACAGGTCAAAACCACTTGATTATTATTTTCTGGTAATTGGAAACTTAAGTGAAATTTTAAAATTAAAAAATAAATTATTTCCATTGTTATTATTTTATGAGCTCCACTACAGAAATATCCTTTAAAAAGATCTATTTTTTATATATATATATATATATATTTGTTACTATATTACTGCTACATCTAGAAATACTCTATTTGAATTTTACATTTGAATTGTTCTATTGAGCAAGGATATAAATTTCTACTATCAATGCAGAATACGAGCCTGCTGAGTGACACACGCATTACAGTCTTTTTTTGATTTTTATAGGCTAGGCATATAATTTCATTTGCAGGAACACCTGTTAGCTACATCTGACAGAACATATTTAAATCCAAGATATAGGTAGATGGCTTATTGCAACTAATAACCACATTCTGAGAATTACTTTACTGAGAATGGTATCTTTCCCCCACAGTGTGATTGAACTGTTTGTTTAAAAGCATCAGGGTAAACAGCATGAAAAATTGCCCGAGCTTGAAATGGAAGACGGTCCTCCACACAAGGGGTGGGATTGTCCTGCACAGGTTACATGGGGGGGTCTCAAAGGAAGTTCTGTAGGTATTATGAGTGTAATCACACTTTCCTGTTTGCTCATTCTTATCAGATTTTTTTTTTCCTTTCCCTAGCCCCTGTCAAAGCACCTATACAAACATCCAAAGGATACCTAGACAGCTGCAAAAACACAAAGATGTTTGTCAATGTGTAAATTTTTGTCCATCAACAGTCAGAGACACGCCGCATAAACCTAAGGCCGTTCATTACTGAGAACCCTTGAGGAAGTGAGCTGTGATTAACTAAGCAGGGAAGGTTATTACATGCAAAATATTTCCAGATTCAAAATGGACAAAAATGTTTGTCCTTTGTAACTCAGTTTTTCATCTCCTCTTATGGAAAAAAAAATTAATAACCAAGAAATCAGCTTCCAAAAATGAGGCTAATTTTAGCATTTCTTAAAAAAAAAAAATAACGTAACTGTTGAGTGTATCTATGAATGGAGTCAATACTTACAGGCTTGGGAGAGGATCTGTACTTGCTTTATGTGAAGGCATCAACTGTAAATATAGCGAAGTACAAACCACACACGGTTTTCTTGCATTTAAATATAGGCAACAATATGGATTTGAAATTAAAGGACTACAGCATTGAAGTAAGATTACGGAGCATTCATGTAGCGCTTGTTCCTATGCTACCGGAGTTAAAGGGGTGTTTTGCCGTGGCCTTTCAGGGACGTAAACGTCAGCTCTCAGAAAAGAGGAAAAATGCTGGCGCTGCTTAATTAACTATTATATACTTAAAAAGACAGCTTATCTATCAGAGAGGATACTGATAAGGACAAAGACACACATGAAAAATCGCATGTGGAAAATCACAAGCAGTTTTTCAAATAAAATAAGCATTTTCATGTGTGCTTTTTTTTTTTTTTTTTCTCCCAGTTTGTTACTATGCTCTGACTCTTGCAACATTTCCTTTGGAAAAATACACCATTTGCACAGCTGGTCTACCTTCTGGGCCCCGTGTCCACTTGTGCCCTTGCTGTTGCTGCCCTGTTTTGTGTAGAACGTGCATCCTGGCAGCTAGAGCTGCCGTGCAGCATTATCTGAAAAGCACCACTCCCACTTGCCTCCTGTGTGCTAAGGTAATATGCCACCGCCTCTGTGACTAAAACTTACCTCTTTTATCATTTTTTCATCTATAACACACTTTAAAATGTGTAGGTGGCAATTACTGAACAATAAACAGCCTTCCTTGGCAATGTCAGAGGTATGACCTGCAGTTTGGGTTCCACTCCCTGATCAGTTTCACCCCGTCTCCAGGCTAGCTCTTGAATTTTCAGGTTTGCCCGTAAATTAGAACACAACCCTACACCGTACAATGGCCTGAGAACAAGTCAGCACAGGTGCACCTGGATTTGACTGTGCTATGCCTGAAACAACAACCCTGACCTCTGAAACATACTGCTTTGTCAATATATTTTGCCAGATACAAGCTGACAGCTACTGAGAAGTGACAACTAGAAAATCTAAATGCAAGAACCAGCAAACTTTTGTTACCTGCGCCTGTTTTTAAAACCACTGCAGGAGGTTTACGTGAAGCGCCAGGACATCAGTCGTAAACTTAGCAGGTACAATAGATCCAAAAGCCAAACCACAGCGGCTTTTCTAAAAAGCAAGATCATGCAATGTCGTAAAAAGCTGTAGCATGGTGCGTCAGCAAATACGCATTTTCTCAGACACATACAGAAGTGACAGAAAGGCATTTGGCCACAGGAAATACAGTAAGTACAACAAATTGAGTAGCTTGATGCACTACTCCATTGGTTTTGCTCTACTCAACTTCATTATTTTGCACTCTCTTACGTGTACTTTTAATGGTATCAGCCTTTACAAGCATGGTTTTGTAGCCCTGGGTTAGGATTTGTGGAATAAAAACATTGTCTGCTTCCTTGTTGTAGAAGGTCTGAAAGAAAAAAAAAATAAATAAAATTGGGCACTGACTTACCAGGCAAAGGGCAGCAGCAAACAAAGCTTCTGACTCTGTCAGTGCAGACCAAGGTGCGGCCAGGAGGCTGCGGCTCCGAACCCAGCGCTATGGAATGCTGCTCTCGTGCTTCAAGTGGTTGTTCCTGAATAGTTCACTTGCTGATACGCCCTATGACCTAAGATGAATATTCATTCAGATGAATATGACGTGACTCCATCGGCACGTCACAAAACACCATGTTACATTTCAGGAAGACAGCAAAAAACTAGAAAAGTATCAAAATACAGTACAAAATACACAGTGTTTTGAAAAGTCATTGGTAACGTGGTAATAATTAGAGTAAAACATACAGACATCAGTGTATTACACTCAAAAAAAAGAGATTTTTTTAAAAGTCAACTGTAAAAATGAATTACTCTTCAATTAAACGAGTAAGCTCTGCACAACATTTAAATGGTATGGCATGGAAACTTGTACGCTTTCTAATTCTCAAGAAAACTGCAACACAACAGGTTCTGAGCAAATCTGTCAGCACATACAAATAATAAAGGTAGGAAAAGTATTTCTATACAGTGTTGATGACTGGAATGACTGGGGTGAAGTATGGCCGGACTCAGAAGAAAAGATTTTAAGCCTCAACGTTCTAACTAACGTAAAGGTTCAGACTCAAAGAGGCTGAGTATTGAACTGTAATATCAATTTGTTTCTGAAAGGAATAAGATTTGCTGTGTGCACTGAGGCCTCGTGAAAAGGGACTGAAACACCACACATCCATTTACACCAGTAAAACCGCGAAATTCACAAAATTAGAGGGGGAAAAAAAAGACTTTCCAGGTGCAGCCTGAAGTGGAGACAGGCAAAAATCTATGCCTCTATGTAATAGTGCTGTTCTAAAATTGAAAAGAGAAAGTGAACAATTACAGGCAACTATACAAAAGCTTTTTACGCCACTTTGGAGGACAGACAAAAGAAACCAAAAGGACAGTATCACACGCTAATAAAAAAGACTACCTCAAGGTAGTTGTTCACATATATTTTTGCATCTGCTTAAGACAAAAATAAAGGTAGCGAGTGATTCAGTAGTAATTTCTTTATGCATTTTAAAATCACATAGATACTGACTCAAGACAGGATACAACTTCTATTAATATGGGGGTTATAGTCTTTTATTTGGGCTTAATTCATCTCCAGCTTAAACATTTATTTGAAAGGATATTGCAGTACATGAGAACAAAGTGAGTAGGAGAGAAGGTTATGGAAGAGCTTGGAGTTTGAGAGAGATTGTTTATCATGTGACAAGAATGTTCTTGAAAACCAGTAATAATCAGGAAAGCATTACACAAAAATAACATTTGAAAACTGTTGATCCTTTAAAATGAAGGGATGTATTTTAAAACCAGCTTATCATTAATGATATATTCAGAGATTCAATTCAAACAAAATATTCAATGCAAACAGACGTTTCTAATCTGTACTATGAGCACAGGAGAATTGAGAGCACAGACCCAAAATTAAATACGCAGACAGTGATGATGACTGTTCAAAGATTACCCTATGGTAATCATTCTGGGAACACAGTCAGCTTTATTAAATAAAAGAAAATATAAATATGGTGGAAGTAAAGAATTTAAGTTACAGGAATTAAAAATGCCAGTATGCAAGTTCTTGCCCAGACCCTGCTCACCCTTCCACCTCCCCAGCAATACATGTGGGCTCCCATGGGGTTGTAGGAAGGTAGGAAGAATTAGCACTCACTCTGTAATTGTTTATTAAATAGCTGCGGGAATACATGGGGAAGAACTGGAATAGCTGCAGGATTCCGTGAAGGTTCTTCATCACAGGAAGGCTGCTTTCTTATCACTCTGTCGTGCGACAGAAAGATTGAAAATTCCCCTGTTATTTAATTCTGAGATAGGAAAAGTGGCAATAAACTGCATTCGGGTAGAGGACAGAAGCAGGTTTTGTGCTGAAATAAGGAGTGAAAGTGAAGGTTACAAGGTGTTTGTATCCATGATCCAAGCAACACCTTCTGTATGAATAACCAAAATACTGGGTCATTCACTTTATGTGGTGGTTTTTTATCCTAACGCGCACTAATGTCTAACAGTTTTCAAATGTTGTAAAAAACCTAATTAATCCTCTGACACATCTGTGAAATAGATTCTTACTGTACTGACAGAGAGAGCGTAACCTTGTTCAAATGACTTGCCCAAGGCCATGCAACTCAGTGACAAACCCAGCCTGAAGACGTTTCAGTTCTTAATGAACTTCAGTTCTTAATTCGAGATAGCCAGCATGGCTTCACCAAGGGCAAGTCCTGCCTGACGAACCTAGTGGCTTTCTATGATGGTGTGACGTCAACGGTGGACAGAGGGAAACCAATGGATGTCATCTATCTGGACTTCTGCAAGGCCTTTGACACAGTCCCCCACAACATCCTTCTCTCTAAATTGGAGAGCTATGGATTTGATGGGTGGACGGTTCGGTGGATAAGGAACTGGCTGGATGGTCGCATCCAGAGGGTAGTGGTCAATGGCTCAATGTCCGGATGGAGATCAGTGACGAGTGGTGTCCCTCAGGGGTCCGTACTGGGACCGGTGCTCTTTAACATTTTCATCAATGACTTAGACAGCGAGATCGAGTGCACCCTCAGCAAGTTTGCGGATGACACCAAGCTGAGTGGTGAGGTTGACACACCAGAAGGAAGGGATGTCATCCAAAGAGACCTGGACAGGCTGGAGAGGTGGGCCTGTGTGAACCTCATGAGGTTCAACAAGGCCAAGTGCAAGGTCCTGCACCTGGGTTGGGGTAACCCCCAGTATCAATACAGGCTGGGGGAAGAAAGGATCGAGAGCAGCCCTGCCGAGAGGGACAAGAAGGACATGGAACTGTTGGAACGGGTCCAGAGGAGGGCTACAAAAATGATCCGAGGGCTGGAGCACCTCTCCTATGAGGACAGGCTGAGAGAGTTGGGCTTGTTCAGTCTGGAGAAAAGGAGGCTACGGGGAGACCTGATTGCGGCCTTCCAGTACCTAAAGGGGGCCTATAGGAAAGATGGGGAACGTCTTTTTAGTAGGGCCAGCTGTGTTAGGACAAGGGGAAATGGTTTTAAACTAGAACAGGGTAGGTTCAGGCTAGAGGTAAGGAAGAAATTTTTTACAATGAGGGTGGTAAAACACTGGAACAGGTTGCCCAGAGAGGTAGTGGAGGCCCCATCCCTGGGAACATTCAAGGCCAGGTTGGATGGGGCTCTGAGCAATCTGATCTAGTTAGCAGTGTCCCTGCTCACTGCAGGGGGGTTGGACTAGATGACCACTAGTGGTCCCTTCCAACCCTAAACATTCTATGATTCTATTCTATGATTCTATGACGTGTTGAGCTGCCCGGGACACCCCACCGCTGTCACCATTCTTAGGGCACGTATTATCGCGTTAGTCCCAGCTGCGTATGGGCGGTACGGCACAAGTATCCCGTATAAACCACGGCCTCTGAGTTAGCAGCGCAGTTCAGAGCCCTGTGTGGTGGTGTGCTCCCCCCCGCCCCGACCTCTTTCAAGTCATCGTGAAGGTCATGAAGGATGCACCCACTGGATGTGGGGGAGATATAGATAACAATACAGCAGCCAAGGGCTATAGTGGAACATGCCCACCCAAGCACAGTGGTCAGTATGCAAAGATGACCACAAGCCAATTATCTGACCCCCATCAATGCTGAGCAGCCCAAGGGCCCTTGGAGCTCTCCCACAGGGCCGCGGGCTGCACGCCAGGATCTCCCCATGAGCAGGGACGCCTCTCAAGGTTACTCCTCGAGGCTGAGAGATTCCTTACTATGACAGATTCTCGGTAAGTGACTAACAGCACGCTAACTTGGAATCTTGGCTAAGTGACATAAAGGATTAATTGTGCATGTATAATCCTTTAGGCATAAACCACTGACCAAGTCTGGGACTAAGACTGGATCCAGCCGCACCTAGACTCCTCTCTGAGGGAGGAGTTTAGAAAGCAAGGGGATCTTTTCTGAACCTCATGACTCAACGGGAGGGTCCCCCTGACAGTTTTGTCTGACCCTGTCCTCTGTGCAGTAAATAACCAAGTGTGCCTTGCCATCGAATCTTGTTAAATCCTGTTGCATTTACCACTGAACTTTATTAACTCACTGTTTCGCACCAATAAACTATAGTTTTTGCTTCCCTCTCACTCCATCTGCGTCACCCTGGATACCACTGTCATTCACCTACCGGTACACTGGAAGACACAGCTTCAAACCCCCAAAATCTTTGCAGTATGAAGGACCGTGAATACCCGTTGCTATTAATACAATAATGGCAATTATGGCTGCATCTACTCCGCGCTAGTGATCTGAGTGTCTCCATGGGCTCTCCGGCCAGTGGGCACACACTCCCACGAGGGAGCCCTGGCAGGGTGGCTGCACACAGGCTCCCATTTGGGAAGGGTGCCTGCTGCACCTCCGCCCTCCGGCAGCACCCACTCAGGGGCACGCTCGGAGGGGGAGCGGGAATGGTCGCTGCACCCTGGGCTCTGCAGACAATGGTATCCACGTGCCTGGGTACCCTGGGTTTTATTTACCAGCAAGGGCACACACCGTGTTAGTCCCCCCCGTGCTAAGAGGGTTTTTTGCCATAAATCAATGAGCGAACGGGTGGTTTTAATGGCAGCGTTGACAAATGGGCAACAACGTACTTTCATCTGTCTGGCTCAGTTTTGGCCTTTCTGCAGATCGGTCTTCAGATTAGGTCAGAAAAATGGTAATCTACATGTGCCCTGGCACTTCAATACCAGACCAAGAGTATGGGATACCAGACTGTCATGCTTTAACCTGGCTGGCAACTCAGCACCACGCAGCCGCTCGCTCACTCCCCCCTCCCTCAGTGGGATGGGGGAGAGAATCGGAAAGAAAATAAAAGATTAGAGCCAAAGGCTGAGATAAAGACAGTTTAATAAGAGAAAATAATAATAATAGTAATAATGAGAATGATAACAGAATATACAAAATGAATGATGCACAAGGCAATTGCTCACCACCCGCCGACCGATGCCCAGCCCGTCCCGAGCCGCAAGCAGTCTCTGAGCCGTGACCGACCGACCTAACTAACCCCCCCGAGCATGACGTTCTATGGTCTGGAATAGCCCTTTGGTCAGTTTGGGTTAGCTGTCCTAGCTGTGCTGTACTCCCAGCTTGTTATGCACCTGGCCGAGCAGGAGAAGCTCAAAAAGTCCTTGAGTAGTCTGAGCACTACTTGGCAACAGCTGAAAACATCAGTGTGTTATCAACATTCTTCTGGTACTAAATCCAAAACATAGCACTATGCTAGCTTCTATGAAGAAAATTAACTCTATCCCAGCCGAAACCAGGACACAGACCCAATAACCAGCAGAGAAGAAAATCATTGGTATTCCTACATTCACCATCCTGCGAATTGACTCTAGGAAATAGGGAAATAGCCTTTTTGGAGAACCTAGCCTGACACCATCCCCACGGCAGGGAGGAAGGACTAGCTATCCTAGCATCTCTTATAGCGGGGATTTCAGAAAAAAGGGTGTATTTGCAAATGCACGAGAAGTATTAAGAAAAACATGGCTACGCTTGTTCCTCCGTCCAAAAATATTTACGTAAATAAAGCCCCATGCAGGCTTGCATAGCGGGAGTCAACTCGCGAGCCGGAAGAAAAGAGGAAACACGGGGCAGTGTGCGCTGCCTGCAGCGCCAAGCGAGCTGGGACAGACGGCTCTGCCTGCAAAGCGGACAGACACCCCGCCTCAGGGGCAGCCAGGCAACGCCGCCGCTGATCCCACCAGAAGCTCCCGTTCTGTGGGATCCTTGCCAAGTTTAACGCTGCTCTCCCCAAAATAAACCTCTTGAAGCAGTGCCGCTGCCACGTTATCCTCCCCCCCCCCCCCCCGGCTCCCGCAGGGAATTCTTAGCACAGCTGAGCTTCCAGACCCCACACACCCATACGCGTGGTCCTGCCTGGGAAGGCACTCAGAAAAAGCCTGCCTCATAAAGGGAATCTTACAAATATTTACACTCGCGTTTCTATATTTAGGCATATCGCCCCTGCAACAGCAACAAGGCTGTGTTAAAGTCATTTTATTTGGAGATCTGTGCGGGAAAGGAAACGGCAGTAAATAGAAACCCACATGAGGCAGCAGGCTATGACATTATTTGAAATTACATTTATAATACCGAAACGGGGCAACGCAAAAATCGAAGTCGTAAGGGTCTGCCACTGAAACTGCAATTTCTTAAACAGAAAACCAGCAGGGCATGAACGCGCTACAACGCTGCAAACCGAGGGGTAGAGCCAGCTTCTCCTTTCACTGACACTGGGCACAAACCCAGCACAATTCCACCCATCTTAGCGGTGTAAGTAGGAGCAAATTTTGCCTCTAGAAGGCAAGATACGAAACTCCGTTTGAGCAGATAAAAAGAGGTTGGCTGGAGAGCTGCGAGAGCGGGATCAGTAGTTTTGTTTTAGTGGCCTCGGGAAAAAATTCACTTAATAGTTTTGGGTAAAGCAAAGCTTTGAAAACCTGAAAGTTTAGATGCCTTCTGAAAAGCCTGGAGAGATGTGTACAAGTGCCAACGTGCTGCTATTTGTTCGGCTCTTTCAAAAACCGGGGCGAGGGGTGGGGGGATAAAATCAACAGATACCTACGCGTTACATTGCCCGGTAATGTTTGTCACACCAGGCAGAGCTGCTGACGTGCGAGGTGAACCCGGTCTGCCAAGAAAACCCACTTAAATTAACAGA